GACCTTGATACCCCGCTGCGACACTAGGAAACCCAAGAATTTTCCTAAGGCCACGCCGAATGCACATTTCTCGGGGTTCAGTTTCATGCTGTATTGCCTGATTATACCGAAGGCTTCTCTTAAATGGTCGATGTGATCTTCTTTCTTTTTGGACTTGACCAGCATGTCGTTGATGTATACCTCCATCATTTTTCTGAGTTGTTCTTTGAACATCTTCGTCACCAGCCTTTGGTAAGTTGACCCCATATTTTTTCAATCCGAAAGGCATGACCCTATAGCAGTACGTCCCCTGGTGGGTGATGAAGGTGGTCTTTTCCTTGTCCTCTTCCTCCATAAGGATCTGGTTGTAGCCTGAGTAGGAATCCAAGAAACTCAGCAACTCATGCCCGATTGTCGCATCAATGAGCTGGTCGATATGAGGTAGTGGAAACGAATCCTTGGGGCAAGCTTTGTTCAGGACGGTGAAATCTACGCACATCCACCACTTGCCGTTCTTCTTTTTCACCATGATCACATTGGCGACCCATTGGGGGTACTTCGACTCTCTGACGGAGCCATTCTCCAATATTTTTTCCCCTTCTTCGCGCACTGCGTCATTGATTGCAGAATTGCACTTACGTCGAACCTGCCTTACTCGGGGGTAGAGTGGATCGACGTTCAATCTCTGTGTGGCGATCTCCTTTGGGATACCTGGCATGTCTGCATGGCTAAACGCAAACAAGTCTGCGTTAGTAATTAGAAATTTGCGAAACTTACCCGGTTCTTGGAGTTTACAACCGATGTAAGCTTTCTTGCTGTGGTCGTTGACGTCTAGCTGAACGGGATCGAGGTCCTCTATGGTCGATCCTGCGGTCTCGGCCACATCGGGGTATCTGATGACGTCCTCGATGTCGTCGCCTACTGACCTCGACCATGTTGATTACTATGCTTCCTTCTCTTTATCTCTCATTTGTTAGGTGGTCGTGCAGTCTAGGGCGATGCGGTAGCACTCTTTGAGATGTGCGTTGTTCCCCGCGTATACTGAATATGCCCCATGGAGTTGGGAATTTGATGGCTTGGTACAAGCTGGAGGGTATGGCTCTCATGGAGTGTATCCACGGTCGCCCTATTATGGCGTTGTATGTCGTGTCCTAGTCCATGATGTGGAATGTGGTCTCCAGAGTGACGCCACCTGCCAGGACGGGGAGTGTGATCTTGCCAGATGTTCGTTCAACTACATTGTTAAATCCTGTTAGTGTGATGCAGCGTGGTACTATCTTGTCCCCGAGTTTCATTTGTGTGAGTACTCGAGGATGGATAATACACGCGTCGCTCCCGTCATCTACCATAATTCATCTTACGTAGGTATCTAAAATTCATAAAGTAATAACAAGAGCATCATAGTGAGGGAATGCCAAACCGTTGGTATTTGACTTATCGAAGATGATACTTTCTTCGAGTTCATCATACCGTTCGTGGGTGATCGACCGTTTGAGCTTGTGGGTCGTGGTGAACTTCACGCTGTTTATGGAAGCGTTATCTCCATTGCCGATGATCATGTGGATGGTGCGGGCTGGCGAGGGCGGCTTCGGCGGCCCTTGATGTTGTTCGCATCCCCTGGCACAGTTGGTCCTTCCCCGATCGCTCAGCAATTCTTTGAGGTGTCCCTGTCGTAGCATGTTTACGACCTCCTGTCTTAGGGCGATACAATCTTCGGTTTTGTGTCCTCGCTCTTGATGGAACTCGCAGAGGGCGTCTGATTTTCTGGTATTCAGGTCCGACCTCATCTTTTATGGCCACTTAAACTTTGGTCCGAGCTTCTCCAAGGCGTAGACGATCTCTGTAGGTGACACGCAAAAATTGTGAGCGGATAAAAAAGGGGGCATACCTCTTTCATTCCGGCAAGTCCCTGTTCTTGATCAGGGTGAGCCCTCTTCATGGCGAGGTGAGGATACAACGGTAGTTCTGACATATGGGAGATGTCGTTCTCGGGTTGGCTGTGAGGCCGCTGGATCTCTTCTTATATCACTTCTCCGATTTTTTCTGGATTCTGCTTGTACTGAGGTCAGTCGATGAGTCGGCCCATTAAGGTCGTCTTCATCTGCTCGAACTTCGGCACAATATGCATTATATATTTTGTCCCAAGTTGTTGGGGGTATTTCATAAGACGACTTAATAATTTTTTTGTCGCTCTTGAACCATTTCTGTTTAGCCCGTTTTGAAAAGCGGCTACCACTATTCCTTCGGATACATTGGGCAAAGTCATTATCACTCGGTTGAAATGGGCGAGGAAGTCCCTCAGTCCTTCTCCCGGGGACTGTTTGATAGCAAAGATATCATTCACTCTTGCTTCGGCCTTCTTGGCCCCGGCATGGGCCGTCACGAACTTACCGGCCATTTCCTCGAAGGTTTTGATGGAACGAGCTGGCAGTTGCAAGTACCAGGTTAATGCCCCTCCCGTGAGGGTTTCGCCAAATTTCTTCAGCAGAATGGAGGATACTTGTTCTTTGGCGAGGTCATTGCTTTTCACAGCGATGACGTAGTGGGTCACATGATCCTCGGGGTCGGTCGTTCTATCGTATATTTTCAGGTAAAGCACATTTTGAAAGTCTTCGGTATGGCATGTGGGGAAGCACTATCACTGTACGGCTGCTTGAAGAACCCACCAGCATCTCTCTTCGGCAATAACTTAGGAGCGCCCGATATTTTATATACCCTTTCTCGGTGCTCTCTCATTTAATCCCGAAGTGTCTTGTTCTCATTTTTCATTTGAGGTGCAGCACAGGTTCTCGCATTTGCTGCAGCCGCGTCCTGAACGGGTTTATGGAGGACGTTGGTCAGTGTATCAGTCAGCCAGGCCTCAAGGAGTTTCTTTATCGCTGGCAGTGTCTCCTCTCCCACGAATGTGGAGGCTGTCTTGCCAAGGGATTTTGTGATCCTGCAGTGGGGAGGGGTGATCCACCTCGCCTAGGGGAGACATTAGGCGTTGTGTCCTCGTCCACTGCTTCAGAACTTTCGTGGATGATGTCTATGAGGTTGGTTGGGAAGTCACTCATTATTCTCGTTCTTTCTTCTTTGTTACCTGCCATGTTAGATCTGTGCATGCAGAGAGAAAAAAAGTTCTTTTTTTTTTAACGTCAGCAACCAGTGTCGGTATTAGATCTAGACGAAACTAAAAGACTTAGTTAGAAAATTCCCACAGACGGCGCCAAATTGTTTGACCAAAAAATATAATTTCCGGTTAAATTATTAAATTTACGTAATACGGGGTTAATCTAACTAAGGATAATAACCCTAGATATTGAGCACAAAAACGTATAGTAGATGAGACAGATTCCGTATATGATTGGTGACAATAAATGTAAAATACTCTTGAAGCAAGAACATTAAGGGTGATATAACTAATAATAAATATCAATAAATGGCATTTAAGTAAATAAAGAGAATGATTCACCCAATAATGGATGGGTGGGACGAATATTTTACCTGACAATGATGAATGACAGATAGATCCAAGATTCGCATGAACAATCCTCGGATCTGGTGGAAAGGTGGGGAATAATATATCAACAAGAATATTTTGTAAAAAGGTAATCTTTGTGTTTTTGCAAGAGAGAGAGTCTTCTTCTCAAAAATGTTCTTATCAGAATGAATATTACATGCCCCTATCATTGTCTCTCATTTCTATATATATGAGGCATTTTTCCTAGGAATCCCTAATAGTACAAATGCAGGGAATATCCACTAGAATATTCTCTTTTAGTACCCTATCCTGACAAATTAGCTGTTACAAGTCTTATCATCAATAGTCAATCTCGACCTCGACCCTTGTTGACATCTTGACTGCGATCTCTGTCGATATCTCGACCACGACTCATGTCGGCACCTCGGCCATTGACCTCGCTGCGTCTTGGGTGAGCTCGACCGATAACTTTCTTTAATGCCATATTACACTAAATATTCTGAAGACAGATTTTAGCCTATACAATTCCCATTAGGAGTAGGATAAAAATTAAGTTCCTTGTATGACAAGATGGCAGAATATGGAGTTGCTCACCTATACTAATTATAATTTCGTGAACAGTTCCTCTGATATTACAAATATTTGCAGTTTGAGTTTTCCTTATAAAGAATACCATTATGAAAATTGATTCATTCTTATAGAATGATATCGTTTAGTGATAACACTAACATATTCGATAAATCAGTATATTCAATTGATGAAATGTGATATTTTGGTATGAAGTACCTTTTGTCTCAAAAAGGTTGAAGATGGCTCGTGCAAAGAGATTGATGTTTCGCCACATATATATTGAACGAGGTTTGGAAGGATAATAAACAAATATAGCCACTGTATATACTTTTTCTTATAAGAGTTTGAGAATAAGTTACCATAACGACGATCCACATAACTTGTACTTTATTCTTTCCAGGTATGATGATGATTAAAAGAAAAAATGCAAAAGGAGAAAAAAAACAAAAACTTACGACTACAGCAGGGTTCGAATCTGCGCAGACGAAGCCCAACAGATTTCAAGTCTGTCTCAACCACTCGGACATATCGACTTTGGCATCTGTAGTGGCGACGCTATCTTTATCTTATACTCGGACATATACTCAGCGATGTATGTATATGGCCTCATCCTAGAGTGCTAACTCAGTTTATTTCTGTGCGTGTAAAAATGAACTCCCTTCATCCCAAAATATTTATCATGTTTTCCTTCTCGAAATCTTTGAAGCTAAATTGAATTTGATTAATTCGTATCTTAGAATTAAAATTTACATATTCACAAATTATATGAAAAGAACTATATATTGCAATTTTTCTCATATCAATATAGTTAAAAAATATATGTCAAAATTTTGGAAGTTTTGACTCTGGAGAAGTAGAACATAACAAAAGCATCTGGATAAGCTAATAGGTCAGCTCGTGCTCCAGATAAACTCCCATCCTTGTGTAGCTTCGAGCCGCTTCACTAACGGATTGCATATCATCTTAACCAAAAGAGAGAATTAAATAATTATGCAGGAATTGTGCATCTGCAGAAGCAACATTTGGATGCTTACTTTATACTTGACATCGAAATGTCCTACATCAAACATGGTTCTTTGTACTATACACCAAGGCAAAAGAAGCAATTCAGCTGTTTGCTGTCCCTATGTTTATGCCAACTATGACTGAACTAACTTTTTACCTAATGACTACTTTCCTATATGCCATATAGGATTTGAGAATATACACATGAAACGTATTTCTGTTGACAAACAATGTTTGTTCCTATATCAACTAGATCACTCTCTGTGGTACAAGCATCATCCATTCCTCAAGAGACTAGCCATCAAAAGGATTGAGAACTCTTTAAGAAAGGTTTTTTCTTGATGAGAGAAGCAGAAGTTCAAGTGGTTACATCCAAGTCCTCTGCTCCTCAAGCTTGTAAGATGTCAGATCAGACCCCAACAAAGAATCCAAAAGCAATCCTTGAAGTTTTATGTACATTGTCTGTTAAGTTTCGGAGATTCGCACTCCTAACTTGCAGTAGTAATCAAGTTTGGGCACCATGAAGAAAATGGCGTTTCCACTAGACGGCAATCACAAGAATTCACCACGAATACTCTTCAGCTATTCTGATTTGGTTTGACGTGAAAAAAGCGTGACACTTCTTGATAAAGTTGCTCAGCCTCAAATGGCTTCGACACATAACCATCCATTCCACATTTCTGACACTGTTCATTTGTAGCTTGAATCACGTCAGCAGTCATGGCCAAAATGGGCACTTTCCAGCTTGAAGCATTTCCATAAGCTTCAACAGGAAGTTGTCCAAGTTGGATACGGCTATTGATGTCAGATTCCATGTCGCGGATTCTCTTTGTAGCTGCAAACCTGTTATTGAATTTTATAGTGTTACCATCAGCTTAAAAGCGATTTAATTTGTCAAACATATAACAGAGCTTCTCTAAATGATACTTGTGCAGAGCAGAAAGTGCGATAAAGGAATTGCTATGATTGGAGCAGAAGCTCATGGTTATGCAAAAATAAGCAAGGAAAATACAAATTAGCGGGTCTAAAAATGGTAGATAACATAGCGTTTCTTAAGAAACATACCCATCCATTTCTGGCATCTGAATATCCATGAAACATGCATCAAACTGATGAGGTGGTTTTAAGAAAGTGATTGACTTTTTTCCACTGTCTGTGCAGACAACATCAGCACCATACTTCTTCAGCGCAGCAGCAGCTACTCTAAGGTTCACATTATTGTCATCCACAACCAAAATTTTTCTCCCTTGAAGGAGCTTGGAAAGAGAAGAACCGGAGAGCTCTCCATTCGTGCAATTCCCTTTGTTACCAACACCCATGGCACGTTGGAGCGATGCAGCAAGCATACTCACCCTTAGTGGCTTCATGATGACAAATGGAGTAGAAAAACCATTGGCTACACCAACTCGGCTAGAATTTATAGAGTTAGCTAATATAAATAGTTTAGGAGGGACATTAGCATCGATATCTCTTAAGTTTTTGACAAAGAGACTTGACATTCCCAAATCAGTATCCCAGATCTCCTGTTCAATGAGGATCATATTTGTGACCCTGTTGTCAGTTCTTAAGTAAGACAAACCGTGATTCAAATCTGAAACCACTTCAGAATGAACTCCAAGTCGTTTCATGTGATACTGTGAGACCCTAGCACGGACAGTTCTTGGGTCAACAATTAAGGCTCTCATGCCATGGAATTCTGAAGAAACAGAGTTTGACGGATTGTTGATTTGTTGGCTCTTCTGCTCATTCCAATTACAGCGGCCATTGGTGAAAACAGCAGTAAAAGTAAAGGTGGATCCAATTTTTGGCAAACTTACAAATCCAATTTCACCCTTCATAAGTTGAACCAAACATTTGCTTATGCTAAGTCCAATACCTGTTCCCCCATGGATGCGAGCAATAGAAGGACCAACCTGCATGAAGGGGGTGAATATACGAGATTGAGCTTCTAAAGGAATTCCTACACCAGTGTCTTCTACTGAAACTATCAGATTGATCTGACCCAGTGAGGAAGATGTGAAAGAAGCAGATCCTTCTTGATTGAAAGCTACAAAACTTCTCCAGCTCTGTCGTTTATCGGCTACATGCAATCCACTCAAAGTGCACTTTAACGACGATTCCATCTTGAACTCCTCAGATGACTCAATCACTTCCTCGACAAGATGGACCATCACAAATATATGACCTTTCTCAGTGAACTGCAAAAGGACATTATACATTAGAGAGTGTGAAAAGTATGATCATCCAACCCAAAACCTAAAGTGGGGTGGAGTACCCACAATTAACCCCCTAGATGCCCTTATATATGCAATGTTTAATTTTATATATCACCAGAAGTCCAAAACTCTTTTTTGACCTTGTATATCAATGTGAGTCATTATCTAAGTTGCTCAGACACGGGTGCGGGTGTCTGGTTTCGAGATGTTAATTCCAAGATTCGGGGATATGGATCCTAGTATGAATACGGATGCCGAGATCCGGCTAAAAAGCAATTCAAAAAAAAAAAATATCTCTAAATTATGAGAAATTTTGTGGAGTACTTAAGTATAGCTTGTAATGTGTGGATTTCTTTTTTTATTCTCAAGTTGTAAATGAGTAAAAGATTGATTTCCTAGATAAGGTATGCTATTTTCTTCAAATTTACCCTAGTTTTGTTTCTGATTTCGGGAATCAAATTGTATCTCGTCTCAAATTTTTCCGTCTGTCGTGGTCAAAGTACCCAAAATTATTTGACCAGATCCGGTACGGATCCCATACGCACATTTATACTAGTGTCGTGTCGACACGGGTGCGGCACCTAAACTGCCGTGTCGGAGCAACGTAGGTCATTATATATCTGTGCACCCTCCTGGTCCTTACGGGCATACATACTTGATATGAGTCATTCCATATCTCCAGCACTCTCTAGCATATGTAGCTCAATAGTGGACTTGAATGCACATTTACACATGTGAGAGTTGGTTTACCAAAAGTTGGTGTTGATCTAAGTTACGCGGACTCTTCGTTTTTGGTGCCGCATCGTCTCGACACGGGACGGGAGCTGGTGCGGGAGCGGGATATGTCCCGATACGTCCCGGATTCGGTCAACTAACTTCGGATACCTTGACATGAGTCCATCGACAAATTTGGGGGGAAATTGAGATTTTAATTTCTCAAAATTAAAAATAAAATCGATTTAAAACATGGAAAATGGCATACCTTCAATATTGTAGTATTTTTGTCTCATATTTGCTGCTTTGTAGTTCAGAAAAACTAAGAATTCAAGGGGTCGTGTTCTGAGTTCGGACCTCTGGCAGACAGTAGCAGCGATATAGATGGAGAGTTGGTGGAAGGACTTGAATGGCTTTCTTTTTCTCTTTATAGCTCTATTTGTTATAATTTTGAGTTTTTTTAGCCAAATCCCCTCACCCGTATCCATACTTGGATCCGTACCCCCGAATCTTAAAATTTAGATTTTGCCGAATCCTACACTCGGATCCGTACCCGTATCGGATGCCCGCACCGAGTCCGAGCAACTTAGGTGTTGATACCTTGTCAAAAAATCTAAGCCTTCAAGTTAAAATTGCAAGGAAATTAAGTGGGGCAGCACAACACCTTTTTAGAATCCTTTAGATGCCTGTATATCTCCGATACAACAATAACAACTGTGTCTTGGTCCCAAGCAAGTTGGGATCAACTAGAATGACTCAAATCAAGTATATAGAGACAATATCCCTGATATATGATATATATATATATNTCGGGCGCAACTTTGGTAACTTAATTAGCAGAACATGACAAAAGCACGTTATCGACTGCACTAGTTACTTCCTTTTTTCTGCAACACACTCAGTTAATTCCTACATAAGAAAAACACCGGATGGATCTTTCGTAATTTTACATATCCCTTGACAATGAGTTGCTCAAATGGTAAGCACTCTCCACCTCCAATCTTGAGGTTGCGGTTAGAGTCACCAGGGTAGCAAAGGGGAGTTCCTATGGAGGGGTTAAAAAAAGGCACAAACTCACATATCAACTCCAGTTTAAACTCAATCAGAGAGTAGCGTTCCTCTTTCGCTTTCCCTTTCTCTCCTAGTTAAGTCAACTCTTTGTCACTGCTATATTTTCTGGGAGCAAAGTTGAAGAGATATGTGAACTTACTTTGATAGAGTTTCCCATCAAGTTTGTGATAATCTGACGAAACCGTCCAGGGTCACCAATGAGCACATCGGGAACCTTATCAGAGATGTAAACTGCCAACTGCACTCCAGAAAAAGAATAATTAGATCACAATAGGAAAAAGAAGATAGTATTAATAAATGGAAAGTCTAAGGTGTGGAGTACCTCAACTCCTTTTTCTTGAGATTTCCCCGAAAAGAGCGAGAGAACCTCATCCAGAGTAGCTCTCACATCAAAACAGACTGCCTCAAGCTCAAGCTTACCAGATTCTATCTTTGCTTGGTCCAAAACCTCATTTATTAGTGAAACTAAAGCTTTACCACTGGCCTGAGCTGTACTGACATAATCTTGTTGTGTCACATCTAGATTGGTGTCCATAAGCATATGAAGCATGCCTGTGAAACAGTGTATCCATGTTTATCCTAATACTNAGTGTATACATGTTTATCCTAATACTCTGAAATCCTCTAAAATATAAGAGTAATGACGCAGCAAATTGCAAATTTTAAGACTCACCAAGAACACCATTCATGGGGGTCCTGATCTCGTGGGAAACAGTAGCGAGAAACTACAAATGATAGAGGTCAATTTAGGTCATATCCTATAACAAGTGTTGGATAAAAGTATTTAGAGAAAAAAGAAAAATCATATATACCTGTGATTTTGCAACGTCAGCAGCTTCAGCACGCTTTTTCAGCACCATCATCTCATGATAATCATCCTCAACTTTGGCTATTCTATTTATTGTTGCATGAAAGATTTGCCCAATAAGCAATGCAATTACAAGGATTCCTGTTGCAGTTGTGATGCCTAGCCAAGGCCATGGTGGTTTCTGTTTGAATCTGAAAAAAAAGAGTAGCAATCTCAGAGGATTCAATCTTAAATTCAAATCTATTGAGACTCCTCAAATCCTTAGTGTCCATATCCAGTTAAGCGAATAGAAAAAGCCTAAAATGACAGGAATCATGATTATACACAAAGAAGACATCCAATGATGAAAGCACAAAATCACCTGCAACGCATCTCATGCCTTCGAAATGGATCGCCAAAGTTGAGGGCACTGACATGCTTCACACCATCACTTGACACATTCGAACCATACATGCTAATAGGGTGGGAGATATTAGTTGTATCATACACATTTACAAGGATAGTTTGCTTGCTTGCAAGCTGCTGAAGAAGCTTCTCTACAAGTGACTCAATGTCAAGGACTCCACCAAGATACCTGCTTGGAAAGGGAAGAAGCTTATAAATTCCAGAACATTAGCTTACTCCAAAATGTGAAATTCTAAAATGCTGAACAAGATCATTATCTTTTGTCTTTCTCCTGAAGTTTTTAGATTCTATTTCCACTATGTAAGGGGCAACATATTCCAAAAGTTGAGTAGTCAGTGAGTGATTGTATAAAGCAGATGACAATACCCGTCAGTTGCTTGGATCCTTTCATTTGGAGTTGCATTAGAAGGAAGATCAGTTTTGTAAACTGCAAATGTCTTTATCACTCCAAGGCGATTTGTTTTAAGTAGCCTGAAGGGAGCCGTGAGAACACCCTTTCCTGATTCCCTCGCACGTAAAACATTCTCGCGATCTTCCTGTTTGGCACAATCATTTATAAGGGTCTTGCTCTTTGTACTTCCCTTTGCATATGTGTGTGCGTGTGGCAGATTTTAAAATAACTAAATCTAGCTATCTAATAATGCACATTCAAAGAACACTTGGGAAGATTTAACAAAGACGTTACCTCTCCAGAGAGCATATCAACAGAAATTACATGTGCAATAGTATCCTGTGCAAAAATAACAGGGGCATATTCCGCCTGAACTGGTGATGGCTCCAGGCCATCTCTATCATACTCGTCATCTTTGTGAACTGGAGTTTGTTCAAGTGTATCCATTCTCCTAATACTCCAACCTTGTTGCTTCTCAAACTCTTTTCTTTCTGAGTGGATCACTCTTACTGCATATGCTACCCCACTTGTAAGAGGCCTCTCGAACGCTGTTCTTTCTGTATATCTTGCAAAAGTACCCTGCAAGCACAGAGTTTTTGGGTATTTTAGAGAATTAAAGAGAAAGATTACTAAGCTGGTTCTAAAGGCCCAATGTAACTAATAGCCTGTTTGGCCAAGCTTCTAAAATCAGCTTATTTTGAGAAATACTTTTTCTCAAAACCACTTTTGATAAGAAACAGTTTGTGTTTGGCTAATTAATTTGAAAAGCACTTCTAAGTAACAATCAATATCATTTAAAAAGTGCTTTTAAGTGTATTTTTCTCAAAAGTGTTTTTCAAAAAAATATTTTTAGGAGAGAAGCTACTTTTTTCTGCTTTCTCCAAAACTACTTATGTTTCTACTCAAAAGCACTTTTTTCCTTCTAAAAGCTTGACCAAACACTTCAACTATGAAAAAATAAACATCTTTTTGAAAAAAAAAGTGTCTTTGGCCTTGGAAAAGCTTGGCCAAACAGGCTATAAGAACACCTTGAAGACTAATAGCAAAAGATTTAGACAGTCACTTTTATTTGATTGAAAAAACAAGTCTATGGAGTTCAACATAAAAGTGACCAAGAAAGAAAAAAAAGCACAAGAATTTATGGTTTAGAGTTCACCATTTAGTATATATGTGAAAAATTACTAAGACTTCAATTATAAACTTCTAAAACCCATAATTTTACAACTACAATAAGTTTAGTGGTAAGAACTTAAAGGTTCAAGTTTAAATCCTGGATGGATAAACTGTTTTCTTATGGATCAAGAATTGTATGGTCTTAAGAAGAAGATGAAATTATGACCTGATCAATAGCAGAAGGGTTCCTGGCATGGTGGAAAGTAGAAATGAGAATGGACATGGCCTGCACATGATTCATGCTAACATTGAACTGATCCTGTAACATCCGAGCCCTCTCATCACACATACTTGCAAGTGTTTCTTTTCTCTTGTCAAAAGCTTGAGTGCTCATGTACCAGAATACTGAAAAAGATACAACTATCCAAAATAATACCCATGCTATCAAAAGCTTCCTCCACCACTTCTTTCCTACGACATACTGAGGGTAACAATGGTAAATCTTACCACTCACCTCTGCTATACCTTCCCACAATTTCATCAATATCTGCTCCCCATCACCAAGCAAAGTCTTGCTACTCATAACTTCACCATTATTTAACCAATTCATGGACATCAAAGACACTAACCACCAACATAGAGTCAACAGTAAGTTCCCCAATTTCAAACCAAACCCAATTACATGGAACAAACTCATCCAACAAACAAAGACCCCTTTTCAAGAATCACTTTACTGAACCTAACACCACTAAAGATTCAAACATTCGGAAGTAGAGGAATAAAAGAGTAAAACAAGTGAAAGTCAATTTTTGATGCTATCTTCTTCAAATTAGAGGAATGCTGAATTGAGGAAGAAGATAAGAAACAGCAAAAAGCCAAAGAAAGAATCCTCAAGATTCGAGCAAGAATTTTGATCATTGCCCAGTAAGCTACTGAAACAAAGCTAAAAAAACAAAAACAATGGGCCAAAACAAGATTCTCCAAAGGTAATTAATTCTAGTTATCAAGTCAGAAACACCAGACATAGATAAAGCAAAAAAACACAATTACGATCCCACATACAAAGAATTTGACACCCAAGTCTTAACTTCTGTAGAATGTGTACCTTAAAGTATGCAAATATCAAAAATAACACGCTTGTTTTGGTTCTTGTAAGTTGCACAACTTGTGGAGTTTCAAGAGATAGCCAGTACTCAAAGTAATTTCTTTGCGAGTAAATATGTGTACCCTTAATGAGAGAGAAGAAAAGAAAGAATTTTGGTTCGTATCATAAAAACACTAAAACTAAGCTATAAAGAATCTGCAAAAGGAAAGATGAAAGGAATATGGTGGTGGTGGTAGAAATGTCTGCTGCCACGGTCTGTTATCTCTATCCAATTTCTGTCCACATCCAAATATTAAAGGAAAAATTAAATGAACATATTCCCATTATAATAAAAATATATGAGTGTAGAATATTTTAATGAAGGGCAGAAAAGTATACTTCCACTCAGCAGGAAAATGACTTTTATTTTTTAATTTCCTTTTTTCTTTTTCATGCTTACACTTAGCTTTTTGTGTTCACATCGCCTTATCTATCCACACAAGACAAGTCCTATGGTTACACGCCAAGTTGTTAAACTCTATTCCTTGTACGCTTCTAAAATCTGTATTTACAATATCATCCTTGCATGTGGAGCTATATATCATGCATGGCATCTAGGAAAGTAAAAATGAAAGAACATCAAATATTATTCTTTTAATAGAATTTTGCACTCTTGTATGGTTACAAGTATTATGGAACTAACAGATGATAAATGTAATCCTAATCCAAGTCTAAGTCTAGCGTTTGGCGCGTAAAGATATTTACAAAATTAAATCATTGTTAAAAGGCAATTTTAAGTAACTTCAATTAATAGCCTTAATTGATAACCTATCATCAGTGTTTTAAAAAGCGTGGTCGTAAGTCGTTTTATATAAGTGAGGCATAAGTCCCATGAGTATTTAATTTTTAATATTTCATAAAATAATATCATTACAGTAAATATTTTTAAAAAGGTAAAATTACATAAAAATTGAAGAAATTTAATAAGTGAAAAATATATAGACGTGCTCCATCCCCACAAAAAACTAGTAATAATCCATTATACTCTATTTACAAGTACAAGTAACTTGAGTTAAAAGAATAAAATTTTCTATGTGGAGGAACAAAAAGGATGACTAACTTGTAATTTGAACTTTGAACTTGCCGCTGCTATGGAGAGAAATTAGTTTTCTTTGTATTTGCAAAAATTAATTGGTTGTTAGACTAGCGCACAAGATAAGAATTAGGAAAGACCATAAATTAGCGTTTCTAGCAATAAAAAATAGTCTTGACTTTTAAATTTAATGTGTCAGTTCCTTTTTAAAAAATTTTAATAATTACAAGCTGACTTTTGAGAATTTGGGTATTATATTAAGGACTTATTAAGAAAATTTTGTTTTAATTTAAAAAACTTTCTTGGGCTTACGCCTCACTAAAAAAACGCGTCTCAAACGCCCAGGCATGGAATTGCTGGGCGTACGCCTCTTAAGACTTTCGCCCCCACCATTGCCTTGGGCATTTTTGATACGCCTCGTCCCAGGACTCGCCCCGGAGACAAAAACGCCTTTTAAAACACTGTCTACAATAATGATAACTAGTCTGTCACTACAATAATAGCATTACTTTAACATATTAAATTAGACAAATAATATGAAAATAATAATTACATTCTCAATGTATGTATCACTAACTTTCTTTATATACTTTCAGATGTAGTTATTAACTCTTTTCAACTGCTACAGGCTAATCATTATTTTATGTCCATATATAGGTAAAGAAAGTTTATGTACAATGCCTTCATAATAACAACCCTCTCTAGAGAATCTGTATATATAACTTTAGACTGTGATTGTTTTGTAGAGCTTGGTACATTTGCATGTCTGGAATCTTTTAGTGCATTTTGCTGAGTTTAATATATTTGTAGAACTTGATTTATAAGTCTGCTTAGGATTAACCAAACATACTTATTTTTAACATATACGTTGACTTATTTTAATGAAATATCGAAATTAAATATGCTTTGAAATGGCTGCTGTACTTTCTTTGATTTCAGTACATAAAACGTCAACGAACTATAACAAAGTTGTCTTAGCTTCTTATAGTGTATAAACAAATTTTCCTCTAACTTTCTGATCGATATTTTTGCAACTTTGTAATGTTAAATATGTGTTAGTACTAAAAATATAGAAGGCGGGGTAAAAGGACAAAGACAGACAATAAAACTTGTTGCTGGAACCAACTTCTTTGATTAATTTGATTGTTGCTTTACCAGCTTTCTTTTGATTAATGGTAAAAAGTAATCCAAATATTAGACAAACTAGTGAGGTAAGAAAGTTAGTTGGCCAACCTTCTTTAGTACTTAGCTGTATTGTAGTAACCTTTTCTCTTCTCCTTTCTTGAGCCTTTTTTTTATGCTCAAGGAAACAAATAAAGTAAAAAGAAGGAAAAGGAGAGAGTAGATTGGATATGCTGTGGCATCAAAGTGATGGCAAGCTAAGATGACTTGACAGACATATAGTATCACAAGCATATAGAGCAGAAAGCCTACCGTTTCTATGTTGCGACTTTAATGCAGTGTATTTTAAGGAGAACAAATTGCTTCTTATTTTATTTTGTTCGACTCTATTTATTCGTCTGTTCTTGGATTACATAGTCGTACAAAAAGTTATAAGAAAGTTTCTCTAATTAATAGTGAATTTAGGAGACATGTTCTTATGCGACTGTTAATAATTTATTGACTATCTTAATATTGTAGTCCCCAAATATTTTCCTACCTATTATTAGTATATACTAAAAGAGATGAATGGTCTAATAACACTAGAGTGAAATACTCCCTCCGACCCACTTTAATTGATTTTTTTTGACTATTTTCGCAAATATTAAGGAATTTATTTTTTAGTATTAATTAACATTGAAATTGACCATATTAATCTTAGTTTGTTCATTGAAAATATAACAAATATTTTTAGGCTATTTACTCCAAGAAAAAAAAATTAACTCATTCTTAATATAAAAAATTAAATATTATGGATCACAAAAAAAGACCAAAAAATTAATTAAAATAAATCGGGGGAGTATTCAATTATGGGTGGAGCGAAATGGAAGTTGTGAGTCTCTTAGGCTAGAATTTATTCGTTGCTTGATTCTTCAAAAGGACCCTTAATTAGATCTAGACTTAATGGTTACTTATTACACTTCTACTACACGACTCGCTCTCACATTTTCAAAGAAAAGTCTAGTACTGAATTAAAATCAGACTGTTAAGACTTAAGACTTCACATTTTAATGATATGGTGTCATTATTGGTGAATAATGTATCATAAGTTGCAGAATGGTAAATATGAAGAAAAGGTAGGGTAAACTATAGAATGATGCAAAGGAGTCCTCTTTGTGAGGAAGTGATTAGGCCATCACTAAAAACACTCTTTCTTTTTTAGTGTCCTGTAGGGGAGGAGAGGAGGCGACAGCGACGTGTCCACGTCAATCCACCGGTTCTCTGACTTCTGCCCAATTACAAGCTACCAAACGTTTTAATGCGCACATAAGCTACGTGTCGTCTCTATTAAAGGAGATAAAAAGAGCAAAGGCATCTATTAGCCACGTGGCCTAATGGGGTTTGTTTTTGCTGGCTATAGGACAAGGACACTACTCTAAGGCTTATCCACTTCCACATGGCGTTCCTTTGAATTTTTGCAAGGAACAAAACAAATTTCAGTTTTTGAGTCTGAAAAAATGTTCATGTGAGAAATTTTCATTTATCTTTTTTATAAGAGTTGCAAGCTCAGATTCTTAAATTGTTAAAACACTTTTCAAACTTTATTTTGTTTTGCAAAAACGTCTCAAATAGACATTTTTTCAAAACTCAGAACTGAGTCTGTAAAGGTTATTTTTATAAACAAAAGCCACTGTTTGAAATAATACTTCTTTTTCTTTTGGGTCATGAAATGCTGCTTCTCATTTTTCTTCCTCTTTTTTCCTTTTCTTTGAAGAACTTTAATATATTACCTTCCACACTGTTGTTTTTTAAGGCTAAGATTAACATGTAAATTATCTTTTCTTCACTTCATATATCTAACATAAATTATTGTTATAAGATAAATTACACTTTTAATTATGCTAAGTTGACATTTTGGAATTTGGATCAATTCCGTAGAACACATAAAAGAACTTATAATTTCAGTATTCCTTTTTTTAAGTTCAAAAAGTGAATAGTATATAGCTATTCGTAACCGATATAGAAGTCTCAGAAATTCAATCTAGTTCGGTTTCCGAATCCAAGTCCTATAAATGTCCCAACCAACAATTATTTGGACAAACTCAGACCAAAAAAGATAAGATAAGCCAGACGAAAAAGAATATGACTAGATAATTAAGCCAATTAAATTAATTTCATTAGCTTAAGCTTTGGTGAAGTGAACAAATGCGAATCAATTTTGTTCTCGTTTTACCAGAAACACACCAAAGTCAATTTGCATAAAAATTATAATGATTAGGAAGAATGTCATCACACTTTGCATTCCTCTACTGATTTTAAAACCTCTTGGTCTAATCTTTACCTATTGGTGAAGAAGGCTAGCTTAGGTGGCAAGGTTGTAAATGTTGGGTTTTTTTAAAGTAAGGTGTGAATGGATATGGAGTAAAATAAAAGTTTTGAAAGTTTCGTTTTTTACTAATGAATCGCGTCTCTCATCAAAACAAGGGATGAAAACATTTGCGCTTATTTAGCGAGCACTTCTTCTAACTCTTTAAGAGTCGAGAAGAAGGCAAGCCTTACACCGTCATCTTTCGATTTTAAATTTTGAGTTTGGTCGAAAAATTCATCTTTGACAAATAAATTATTAAGTAGAAACAGAGGCATATGATAGCATGTCAAATACGATTTAAAAAATTGTTGAAAATACTTGACGAAGTTCAAAGAATGTATGTACATGATCAAGAATGTCATCCTCGTACAGACACATAAACATCATCAAATTTTCCATCCTTATTCTGCCACATATACCAAGAAAAGAATCAAGAAATGCCACCCTTATTTTGTCACATGCGCATAGTCAAGATCGTCACCCTTATTACGCCGCATGTGCAAACCCAAGGACGTCACCCTTGTTTTGTCATATGTGCAACACAATAATCACAATTTTATGGGAAAGACCTCGTACCAACACCCAACCAATCTGCCCAACATGTCTACATGTGCCATAATAATCACAATACAATATAAATTTTACGGATATATTTTTTGAATCAAAATTATTTATCTTTTTTCGTTATTTAAATTTTTTCTTTTCGTTAATTTTCGCGCATAACAGATTTTC